CTGGGAAGGTAGCCAGTGGTCTGTAGTGCTGTTTACCGATGAATCTCGATTCGGTTTCAATCCTGATTCGCAAAGAGTACGCGTATGGCGAACTCCTGGTCGTGAGTCCCTCAAGAAGTCCATCCATACCACGATTATGGTTTGGGCGGGAATTCGTGTTGGTGGAAGAACAGACCTCGTTTGGATCAGAAACACTATGACCGCTGAAAAATACCTCAACCAAGTGCCAATAGTCTACCCACATCGAGTACAAATGGGTCAAGAATTCACTCTCATGCACGACAATGCTCGTCCCCACACAGCGTGAGTGGTCACCAGTTGGCTGCAGGAGCACGATGTATCAGTCTTAGACTTGCCCGCGCAATCACCAGACCTAAACCATATAGAACACGCGTGGGACATGCTCCAAAGAAGGGCTTTGAGGAATTTACCTACAAACATTGTCACTGAAGAGCAACTTTTTTTGCGTCTTTCCAGGACCTAGGACAATATCCCGCAGCAAGACTTTGATAAGTTGATTCAAAGCTATTGACTATTGATTTTCGCAAAATTGCAAATAACGGAATAATTTCGCTATATTTTTAACTTTTTCTTGAAAAACACATTTATCGTTATTTTTACCATTATTCCACTATTCGTCTTTACTAAAAAAAAATATTTTTAAGTACAAAAAAATATTTATGTTTTATTCTATAATCTATGCTAATAAATGGGCTTTATAAAAATATAAACATGTTGTATGTTATTCAGAAAAAGAACTGCGAAAATTAAGAATAATTAAAATAACCCTAGACGATGTTGATGTGTATAGTATAGTATTCATAACTTTTGGTAGATCTCTGCAAAGAGTTCATAATTATTAACCTGTTGCAATTCAGTTTTTCAATTCACCTAGCATGGGCTCAATTACTAAATTGATTAAGCCTATCGACCTAAATAAATGCTTTTTCTATAACAATTCTCAATATTCACAAAATTTATGGCAGCATGTTATCTTCTTCAAATTAGTGAGATTTAATATACTGGTGGAAACAAAATGAGGTCATCTACCAAACGGAGTCATGACTGTGTTTCAAAATTAAAACATTTTTTATTGATACATGTTAATATTCCAAAGTAACTTATTTATTTAGCAATACACAAAAAAAATCCAAATAAAGACAAGAATCTACCGTAAAAATATTAGTGGCTGAATTTTTTTAATTAAAGTTTGTTCGAAAGTTTGTAATTAATTTGTTTCATTTTGAATACATATACATAAATTTAAAGTTCGGAACTTAAATTCGTGGTCAGGGACGGTAAAAGCCATAGAAAGATAACCGTCAAAATGTACGGTCAACATTAATGCCAAGGTCCCACAACACTATATTAGCACATAAACTTAGGGTTGGTGCATATCTGATGGAAGATCTGTCAAGCTTCTCACGGAAGTATGCGTTCTTGCGCGACAAATCTTCCATCGAGTATGTACAGTGTATATCATGTCACATATTTGACAGGCCCTCCATTCCATGTACCATATGATTGTTATGTTGTGATCTAGAACTGTCAAAACATTAACATTAGAAGAAATAGCTCCTATTGATATTGAACACGATTCTTCGACATTGGAGATACGAACTTCTCCAACATATAATGATGGGCAAAATTCTTAGGAAGCGTTGGAAGGAGGAAGAAATTGTAACTACGAAGTATCAGAGAGTGAACGGGAATAGCTAGCGCAGCCGACCTGTTTCGACTCGCGAGAATTAAGGAATGTTGTAAAAAGCTGAGGGCCAACCTTCCCTTGTTGGAGAGACACTTTAAGAAGAAAATTAACAGAAATAGAGCCCAGTTCTGGAACTGACAGGATGCGACGCATCTTCCAAAAGATATGCACCTACCCTTAGTGTACCATTAAACTACCATGATTGCTTACAATAACAGTTAAATACAATGTAGTAGATCAAGGTAAGTATTTAGTATTTTTATCATACTGCCATATCCTGTCATGCTCTTAGTATGTCACAAACATTTATCAGCATATTTTTCATTCGTGGATAAAAATCTCTAAATAAAATGTGATATAGAGGCTCGGTAAACGATAAGAGTTTATTTCTATGGGATTTAAAAACGCCATTAGTAAACGTTATCTAGATAAGCAACAAAATGGTCAAGGAGAGCGCTGGTGCTGATTGTTTATATTCGTAGCAAAGGTTATGCACAATGTCCGTACGTAGTTACGAGCCCATACCATACAGTATTTGAAGGCAACCAAAAGGTCTTTGTTCTTAAATACAGTGGTTGTAGTTCACGCAACAGCTTTAGGTGGCTACCATTATAAATTACGCCGCCTCCGCCCCGGTAGTCGGTCGGTACCTACCCAACCACGCTTCTCACCATAGACTTAAATAACAACGCCATTAATACTTACTAAACAAATAGTAAAATATTATTAGTCCATGGTAAAACTGAATTTTTATTACCAATTAGCGTAGAGAGAAGAAATAAAGGTTATGTTTAAAAAAAAACGTGTGAAATAAGCATTTCTTAATCACGATGAATTATAACATCATTTTGATATTCAAATGAAAGAGATCTATAAGTTTTGATTGTACCACAAAAACCCATCGTACGATCTATATGAATTTCGAATCTTGTAGTCGTGCGATGATATAAGGGAGTATTATGACAAAAACGTGTTTAATTAGTCCTATGGTACAACGAAATAGCATCTGTTGCATGTAGCCCTAACTTTGTAGTTAATATTGACATCGCCAACCTGCTTGACTGAGGTGACCAAACAACCTTAAAAAAATCTTAGTTTTTACCAGTAACTTATATGAATATTATTAAATTCTATATGCAGAATCTCGCAAATACAGATAACCCGGTCAGTTCAGGGATCGGAATTGACAATGTGCAATGCCCCGAATACCGAGATTATAAATAGGCTGCGGGATTGTGAGCACTGATCTCTATAGTGATATTATGTATAAGTACATAATTGTCATAATAAAGCCAAATCCTTGCTTTAAAATCTTTCAATTTTATATTTGATGAAACAATAACAAAGATTGAAATCAGTATTAATGCTACACACTGATTTTTATCTGATTGATGTTAATTATAACTCTCTGGTTCGCACGAATGTCATGTGCGCACACAACCCTTGTATGTTAATTGTTTGTTCTTTTAATTATTTTACAATGTCTTATTTAGAACACAGTGAGATTACCACATAAATAAATTTTCACGGAGACCATGTGGTTCACCACGGCTATTATTAACTTTTGTTCAATATCTGTAAAATCATAGATTTAATACGAGTATATTAAACCAAAGACAATATAATATTAGCCCTGGTGAATCCGTGGTTTTTATCACTTTTTTATGTTTACTTATTCTGTATTCTTATATTAAATGATATTGGTATTATTTAAAAACTTCGTTAATAACCCAATGAAAAGGTTTATATCCATTTTCTCTTTATTTAAACAGTTCGCTCATGGTTCTCTTGCGTAGTGAAATGAAACGGACTAAATTATTAACTCAATATAAATACAATACATGACAATAACAATATACTACCTATATATATAAATAATATATATAATATGACATCGCAGGAGGGATGATATTATGACAGGACCTGGGGGCCAATTTATTTAGTACATAAACCCTACAGGGGGCCATGTAGGGTTTATGTGTGTGTGTGTGTGTGTGTGTGTGTGTGTGTGTTTATGCTAATAACTGTGATAAAACTCAATGTGTGTGATAATTTCATTCCACAAAGAATACAAAAAAAGTTCCGTAATCAATTTTGAAAGAAAGGATTGATTAAATTCTTAAACCTCACTCTTCTGTACGATTTTTTCTAGGTAGAATGGTAGGATTGGTATACTAAATTAATGACCACCAGAAACTGTTTAATATTATTATGAAATTAACCACTTGGCTGCGACAAACACATGATTATATATATAAGTATTGTACGTATATCAGAAATAAATAAAGATTGATATTAACTGATGCTACGGCGCAAAGTTTATACTACGGCTACGACGAATGCGTGCTACATAATGAAGTGTTCCAAGACTACGAAATATATCAATTTCGCTTTTTTATTCATTCTTATCCTAGAATTCGCTCTTCAATATCAATGAAACGACTCCACCTCAGTTTTCTAAATATTTTTTATTTGATAGTTTATTTTTATTTTGTATTCAATACCATATAAATAAATATTATTTTAGAACAATAGAAGATCAAGTCTGAATAAAATAACAGACATTTTTATTTATATGAAGCTAACATCCGTTTTAAAAATATCATAAATAATCGCTTGAATATATGAAACATTTGCGAGCGCAACATACCGCATGTTTGAATTTAAATTGAATTTGTAAAGAGAAACTATATAGGTACGTTTATTATACTTGTTAAAACTGTGCACAATGCAAACTACCACTTATTACGACGCTTTAGATTCACAGTTTTGATATTCGTTTTGTCGAGACGGTTGCATTAAGGTTGGATGCACGTGAGTCACCTACAAACAAAACAATAATATTATAAGGTTACTCGTACAAATATCAGCTACAGGGAAACTTATAAGCATAGGTTACTTGTCGCTAGCTTTATTTAAAAATATTGCCTGGGCCCAACACCGCACAGGCATTTTTTACATACGCATCCCATAAGTAAGATTTTGAAAACAACCTATCGCTTAGTTTATCAGGGAAAATGAGGAATTCTAGTGGTACACATTTTATTCAAATCGGTCCAATACTTTTAATGCCTATTCAATGCAAACAAACAATCAAATCTTTCTTTTGATATTGATAGACAAATAAAGTAAATACACTTTTGTGGAAAATAAAATTATTTGATACATAAAAGGAGTAATATTAAAGTACTAAAGTAGCTTATAAAATAGCCGGTAGGTGCTTAAAGATAAACAGCGATCTCTTCCAGATAACACAAATTTATTATAGAAAGCGCACATGAGTAAATATTAAATATGGCCATTTAAATAGGTGATCTTTATCCTCCTAGTTAACGTCTATTGTTATTTTGGGCGTTAATTTTTCTAATCTGTTGAATGTTTTATAAGGTAGTTTACAAATGGGGTACCTATATAAGTGGTGTGAGGTTTTAACCTTGTATATAAATGAGTTAAGTACGCGCACAGGGACAGGGGCCCGCCTCGGCGACGACGAGGTCGCCGCTCAGCGCGATCGCCTCGATCTCCACCGCCGCCCCCAGGGGCAACTTGCCCACTTGGTACGTAGCACGCGCGGGACAATCCTTAGGGAAATCTGCAATACAAAAAGTATCTCATTAAGTTCTTGTACCTAAAAATAAAAGGAAAACACTTAGCATGATAAGGACATTGTTAAAGATAGAAAAAATACATCAAAAGCATTCTACATTTAAATTGTACTCCTGCGAAGCAGCTAGTTGCTTTCACGATAAATTCAATGGCTTAAGAGGGCGCTTACACGGCTACACGCTAAATATGTATATTTTAACTGGTTTTGTACAAAAAAACAATGTCAAATTATGCTGTAATTTAAAATTTAAAACTGCAACATATTTTGAACATAGCAGCCAAATTACTTAATTTTTATATTGAGATTAAATCACAATTTTTCCCCTAAAATACATCATTATTTTGAGTCCATTTTGAAAAATTAAACACTTTTATGGAAAAAAAAGCACTTGTCCAATAGTCGTGATAGTTTTTGCCAGGTAATTTAAATCTTAATTAAAAGTAGACAATTTTATTTAAAACGATTGAAAAATTAAAAAAGAACACGCTGTATGCGTAATAGGTAAATGTTAAAACTGTATCCAATATCTCGAGCTAAACGAGACGTGACATACTTTTTTTTTAATTATTCTGAAGTGTATGACAGCATTAACTCAAATCACTATGAGAAAATATTCAGAGTGTAGACTCCGTCCCGGGTTTAATGTGCGCGCAACACGCACTTTAGTGCTTTTTATTTGTCGTCTGGACTTTGAAATATGAACTTTAAAATAGAGTTCTTTGTCGGAAATAAATGATGTAGGTCACCAATAAGAAAGGAATTGTTGTTTTGTTTAAAAACAAACCTATGAGATTTGGGATACCCCTTCTGACATTGCAGGAGTGCAACATACCTTAATAGGTAAAGTAATATAAAATATCAAGCAAAGGCGATATAATTAATTTAAAAAAATAGCTTACATTACATTATTTTCTATTTCAGTGTCTTCATTGTGTAATCTTTTTATCCTTTTTTGTTGATATTTGTCATTTCTGTCATATTTATAAACTGTATGTAAATTGTGAATATCACATACACAATTTACATGTCAAATAAAAACCTATGCTATTCTTACATTCAGCGTAGACCTGGTTGACCACTTGAAAATCAGCCATACTGTCCAATAGAATGGTGACCTTTACGACAGACTCCAGGGAAGCGCCACCAGCTTCTAGCACGTGACGTAAATTGTCAAGCACCTGTCGAGTTTGTGCTTCTGCGCCACCACACACCAACTGTGCATCTCTATCCAAGCCGAGGACACCCGACACGTACAACGTCTTGTCAGCTAATATTGCTTGACTGTAACAAAATTAACCAAATAGTTACACCACCAAATGGTAATAATGGTAATGGTTACCAATTTCAAAATGTATCACAATACCTTTAAAAGATATAGCGATTTATGGAATTATGTAAAAAAACGTCGCGGTCGCGATCGAGCGAAGTTCGTCAATATTATTTCTAAATAAAATTGAAAGGGGTGGCAATAGAAAATTAGTCAATTAAGCCCCGAATTAGCAACTTAAAAAGCTTGATATACTTACATAAACATAAAAAACTAGTAGAATAAGCAAGGTATCGTTTAAAATAATTAGGTACAAATAAAAAAGATAACTAAGTAGCATGTAAAGTATTGTTACAAATGTTCAGTACTAATGTGTCTTCGACCAGTCGCCCGGAGTGCGAAAGGTCATGGGTTCGAGTCCCATCTCAGAGTGCCAGGGACAAAGTGGATTTTTTAAGCATTTTTAATTAAGAATATCTTTCAGTATAGCATGGGCATTGGCAAAATTCATCAAATATAATAATTAGAACAAATTTTCAACTTGATCGGAAGATTACCGGATTGCAAAACGCGCTAACCACTACACCATCAAAAATCAAAACATAATAGATTTCATTAATGTTACGATATTGTAGCATATTATATATTTATATATATCTATATACTCCATTAAAGCGATATTTACGTTATAATAACACAGTAGATAACAAGAAATCAGTGGGTCTGGGTGGAGCATAAACATGTCATTCCTTAGCGATAACTATGATAGCTAATGAAGTTTTTATAGGTAGAACAATCATTACCAATCTATGATTGAAACTATTAACGACTATCGACTTTATTTAACGTTGACGCAAATTATCTCCAAGAATTGGAATTTTGCGTTTGTTCATTCGTTTTACTTTTGCTCATTGCTATTATTATATATGTACTATTGTCATTATTATGAAAATCTACTTATTTCTTGCCTATTCAAGCAGGCCTTTTCGTCTTTTTTACGATATCAATAAACTTTACACAAAACAATTACTATTTATAAGAAATCAGTGCACTGTCCGCTATAAATAGTTGGTGGTAGCAAGATTCGTTGCCGCTTGTACACGTGCATTTGGCACACACGCAGTGTTGTTGGACGAACTATTTCATATAAATAAAAGCTACAGAAAATCCGTTGCGCGTCGCCACTACGTTGCGGTGCGGTTGTAAACGTTCACCCTCGTTCAGCATTAGACAAACAGAGGGCGGATTCTACTAAATAAATTTTGTTTAAATCGAATCGAAAACAGTTCGAAACCGAATGAAATTACAGTTTTTAATGGTTTTTCTATTCTACTAAATGACATACGATACAATTCCAGTTCTATTTTAGCTTGAATTTATTTAGTAGAATTAGCCCCCTTATCTCCGTTTAAAAACCTTGGGTCAGGGGGCCAATTCTACTAAATAAATTTTGCTTAAATCGAATCGAAAACGGAACGAAACCGAACGAAACTACAACTTTTAGTGGTTTTCCTATTCTACTCGGTGTCAAAATGGCGTCAAACGATACAGTTCCGGTTCTATTTTAGTTTAGCTAACTATCGATCAACAGAAACTGTAAACGGTATTCTACTCGCTCAATCGAACATAGAACTATACAGATGTAGTTATGCAAACCGGAACCAACCCACAAATCTGTCAAAATCGAATTATGTGCAGAGAAGCCTAAAAGTGTTGCAATTAAACTCACATGTTGTAAATTCACAAAATTTCTTGATAAATAAATAAAATAAAATATATTCTACAAACAATTATTACTAAAAACAAGAAACCCATTTTTCTCAAAACTGACATCATGTGGCTGGTTTGCATAACTACGTCCATATACTTGAGTCGATCGTCGGCCCTTATTCCACTAAAATTTTGACACTTCGTTGGATCGAAACGCTACTGAAACCTTACTAAATCCGAACGTTTCATCTGTCAAAATTATCGATTTCTAAAAAGTTGCAAATTTCTACTTTTTGACGATCGATAGTTAGCGTTTAATGATAGATGTGAAACAATTTATATTATTTAAAATATTAAGAGGTGCAATTAGGTACCCCCCCATTGCTGAGTGAAATAAAATACCTTGATCCATCTTCAGAATTGATAATTAAAAACATTTTGCCCTACAAAAGTAACTTCGGCAAACATATTTGTAGTGTTTGTATAGAAGAGGTTTTATCTCGGTACATTGGAGAGCTGCGAAACGTGTTCTTCGGTACCTGAAGGCTATAAAAAATAGGAAACTGACCTATAACAATAGTGGTGATCTAATCGGATTTGCTGATGCCGATCATGGTGGTAATCTGGTGGACAGACGATCCTATACAGGATATGTTTTCCAAATGTGTGGTTCAGCAGTGTCATGGGAATCACGTAAACAGAGAACCGTTGCAACATCAACAACTGAAGCTGAGTACATGGCTCTAAGTGAAGCCTGTAAGGAAGCCATCTACATTCGCTCATTACTAAGCGACATCTTTTGCTTTTCGTCACCCATCACCATTAATTGTGACAATCAAAGTGCCATCAAATTAACAAAAAACAACACGCATCACGCCCGCACAAAACATATTGATATTAGACATCATTTTGTTTGTGAGTCTATATCCACTAAACAAGTCAATGTGTCATTCATACCATCAGCTCACCAAACAGCAGACATTCTCACAAAGCCACTGCCTAAGCTGAGATAGTGTCTCAGCTGTATGTGCCTAACTAATTTAGGATTAGTTTAGTGTTATTTGTTTTGTGTTATTAGATTAATTAGGTTAGGGCATCAGTGTTAAGGTACTTTTGATAATATAGTGTTTTTGTACATACAGTGTGTTTATATAAAGGGTGTACATAAGTGTCCTGATTATGGGGAGGTGTAGATAAAACCTTTTTCTATATTAATCAGACACTGGCATCTTTTCGTATACCTTTTTGAATTAATATTTTATACACTGTTTATTGTTTTTTATGTCACTCTTTTTTACTCTCATCTGACTTTTATGTATTTACAACGTGAAATATATTAAATACTCCAATCCGCTGTGACTTTTAATTCCTACATTTTAAGAGTTTGTGAGTGAGTTATCAATAGACTGTAAAGAACATAATAAGTTGTGTAAATCCATTGATATGTTTGCTTTATCATTAATTATTTATAAAAATACCTTATATTAAGGTACCAAAAAATTTTAATCTTTAACTGTCTAGCACTTCAAGCATATAAAATTTTCTATCCAATATTATTTATTTCACAAAGATACTTTCAATGAGCACCCTGACGTCTGAAGTAAATATACAAAATCTGGGTATCAAACACCAGATTCCTCATCTACATCATGAGAACATAGCAATCCATGTGATATAAATTATGTAAAATGAAAACTATGGAGCTAGATAAACAAGTGTGATAGTGCATGCATATGTTTAATAAACTTTTTATGTACACCGTTTCATCTATTTGTTATAGATAGTTCTGTAATTTTGTGGTTGCTTATTGATATGTAAAAATGTTGGCAGACTTTAAAAATAAAATAAATTATATCTTGATTATTAATCTTAAATTATTATTTTTTTATTAAAAACTTACATTTTATAGATAAATTAATAGGTTTTCATTCCTCTATCAATTTGAAATGTTGAATTCATATTATGTAGATTCTTAACATAAATAAGGTCCACCTAGTTGATGCATGTAATGTAAATTAAAATTGAAAAATTATATTTCTGTTAAAACTTTACATAATTATAAATAATCATTGTAAATAGGAACATCGTAAAAATCATTATTAGATTGTAGGGGCTTTTGGCTTTAAGTAAACTTATCTATGATTATAAAAACATGAATTTTTGAATATTTTGTATTGAAAAAAGTAAACTATTGTAGTATTTTTACAGGAAAACTTAAAAGTGTGTATTTACAAGCATGTGTGGAATTCCAATAAAAATGGCACTGAAAAAGTCCTTGTTTACAAATTAATTAATTTATCATTATTTTTTCTGATCACTTTTGCATTTGCAATACTATATCGATATTTATCTTAAAGGAAAATAATTAAAAAACCCACTTTAAGCAATTAGTGCTTGAGGTGGGATTTAAACCCATAAACACTCACAGTCTGGGCGTCTGCTAAAACCAATTTAACTACCAGATAACCAGCAGGTTTTGTGAATTTAAGAATTACTTGCATTACTAGTGAGCATATGCTCATTTATGTTTAGGAAGTTCACCAAAACTATATTAATAATACCATTATAGAGAATAGAATAGAAAATTCTTTATTGTTAACATTACACAAGTTATATAGGTATACAAATTTAAAACAGTTTAACAAAATAATGTAACAATTGGCGGCCTTATCGCTTAAAGTGATTTCTTCCAGGCAATCATGGGATGGAGAGAGAGAGATAACAATTTATGAAGACAGGGGTGTAAATTTTATCAATAACATTAAAAAGAAAATATGATCAAATAATAATCTTAATTAAAAAATTATAATTATGAATATTTTTTTTCTGACATAAGTATTACTCACTTTTTTATTTGAAGATTATAATATTATAAAGGATTATTACATAATATCATCATTATGTTTAAAGGATTGTTAAACAGGTAAATATACTGTTTATAAGATTTTATTCTGAATTATTTTTAATTTTAAAAATTACATAAAATTGAGCTTAGCCGCAGCTCAGTTTTATGTAACATTTGAAATAACATGAGGCTTTCTGTAACCATATATTAAGTTGCGTGCAAGATAAATGTTCAGCCTAATTAGTATTACCTACATGAAAAATACATATTCTACTGTTTTTGACACAAAGTTAAAACCAACCACCAATTTTAACCCAAAGAAAACTGTCATACGCTATGATGGGTTACAATTTGGAACAAAAAAAATAAGCCTGTGAATCAGGAGCTCTTGTTCAATTTTGCAGGAATTTATATGTGTAAGTTCTTTTATATCAGTTGAAACTTATACTTAATTTGCTCATAGTCAGTATGGATGACAGCTGCGAGCAGATCTATGCAACTACAAGAATTTAATTTGTATACAACTTAATGTGAAAGATATGTCAAATCATTAATAATTTTCTCTGATCTTACTTATAATATCTAGTCAATAATGACATTTCTAATGGATTTCTATAACAAACATTGTTTTAAATTTAATCTTGTATAGATTTTCCACAGTATATATTATGTTGCCTTGCTTGATTCGGTGTACAGATGTAGGTATAGCCAGATTTCGAAAGATATTGGATTCATTTCATCATCAATAATTCTCTCTTAAATGTCTACTTTGAGTCGACTATCGTTTATCTTCTTCACTATGTTATTGATACGTATGAATATTTATTTTCAATCGAAAACTTCTTCTTTTATTAAGGGCTTTCGCATAATTCTGCCAATTTCACGTGCGTAGCCAATACATTATTTTATAAAATTAATTTTGTAAATAATATTTTCAAGTATAATGTTTCACTTTCTATTACAGTTTAATATTACAAAAAAATACACATATGCGGATTGTTTTAGTAGATATCCCATATTAAATTGTCATTTACAATTCAATTTTGTCAATTTCATTCTTCTTTTATTAATGGTATATCTGCACATTTCACACAATTCTGCCAAAGTCAAGTGAATAAATTAATTTCTACATGTAAAATGAAAAAGTAATGAATGAAAGATTAATTAAAACATTGTCTGTATCATTGTGGTTTGTATTGACAAAAAGTGAATTGGTGTTGCAATATGAAAATCAAACATCGATTGGAAAATAATCGATTAATTCACTATATGTAATAGAACTGCAGTAACATTTATTGAATAAAAAAAACTTTAATATACTTTTAGTTAATTTTGGTGCAATTTTGCATTTTTCCTAAGTTTTACGGACTACTACGGTTGTTGATTCTTCATTGATGAGATTCAATGAAGTTTAATGAATTCTGTTTAAATGGATTGAAGTTACTAAAGTCATATGCAATCATCATTTAACTTTAACATTTAATTTTTAGTACAAACAAGTATATAAATTTAATGATTATTTTTGTTGTACATTCTTTTGAAACGGAGTTGTTTAAAGTAAAGTATACACCTCTGGATTAATGCTCGTCCTAGTCTTGGACTGATTGCATACTTCACTTATTACAGTTTGTTAGTGACCGAAAATGACTTTTCTGTTCACGACCTACCTATGTAGGTACCGTTTTATTTTACGGAATCATATTATTCACTTTCATGCTACTTTATCTCACATAATAACATTTATTTTGCGAATTAAAACTCGGTATAAACAATAAAATAAACCAACACCATTTGAATTTTGAAACTTAACTCTTTAAGCTTGACGTTATCTTTAGTCGATGCCAGGTTTTATAGTATTTCATCTGACTTTTCTGTTAATTAAAAGACTTAAGTATATCGGATTTATGCTTTAAATATTAAGCATGTTTAAAGTTGAGTGCTTAATAAAAGTTAGAATTGGGTATATGACGATTTTCTGAAAACTAATTAATTAAAATAGTTGTTTGATATATTATAAACACACTGTCAATATATTACATGAGAATCTGTTCTATTTTCGATGAATATAATTATTTAAATCTACAGATTCTAAGAAATAAACTTTTATTAAATTATTTTCCAACATGATGATAATAGTACGAAACTTATTTTTATAGTGTCAAATACCCAAAATGATAAAAATATTAATTATAAATTCGCGTTTCGGGTATTTTCCCTTATAGCTTAACACTTGGGTATGCACTTTCTTAATGTAGCTAATATTCGGGTGTTTCGTCCGTATTTTAAAACGTTCGAATAAGAATATAATAGATTCATTACGTACAGAAATGATAAAAAAATGAAGGAATGAATAATCATTAATCGTCTCCCGTTTAACTAATAATTTCATTTATTTTATTCTGGTAACACTAATGACAGCTGTTTGGTTCGGCTGCGATTTGGCTCCGATTGCGTTTCAGTTTAGTAAACGTTCGTTTGATAATTTACGTTAGCGGAATGCAAATTTACAGCAAAAATCGAAACGTAACCGTTACAGAAACGCTATTGATGATCGATCGTTGTAAATTAGTAGAATTGGCCCCCAGGTCATTAAAATGGACTTTCAAGAACTGCCTGGTCGGGTGTGACCTCCTCACTCTCTAGCCATAATTACGAGTATATCGATGTTATGCTGATATTTAGTTTAATTTTACAACTTCGACATGTACTTTAGTAACGGCGACCGAACGACAAAAAATGATGATTATGGATTTGACAGCAGTATTGATTTAAAATAAACTTAGTAATTTATTCCAAATTTATCCACCAAACGACATGTCAAAGTAGAAAAATAAAACGAAATACGTAATAACTTACGAGAGTTAAGAAGGTAAGTTTTAATACATTTATCGCCGCCTGCAGGGCACGGCATATAATATATATACATAGGTACATGTGTTACAGTTAAAACCAGTTAATATAGAACGCATTTTCCCCAATTAGAAATAGTTTTTACAAATAAATGCCTTTGTTAAAACTAGAAGAAGATGCGTTAAAGCAAGACGGCTTTTTCTGAAGCGAGTCAGCGAAAAATAACTTTCTTCATTCTATATTTTTTTGTTATCTGTTAAAAAAATAACCTGAAAAAATGATAAATTTTTAACTTATCACTTGACCTACAGGATCAAATTTTGTATTGTTATAAAAGTAACCACAGTTGTATCTGAAAATCAAATAAAGCAATGGTAAATTCTAGTTATGACTAGCTTCTAGTTTTAACAAAACAATATTTAGAAAAATCTAGTTCTAACTAGGAAGAACCCGTTCAATCTAAAAACTGGTCTGAACTGTAGCACATACATTATTTATCACAATTTGATTTAAATATCTTAGTTAGCCGCAGTGATGTGGTGGTGATGAAGTCGCATTTAGTTTGTTATATATTAACACAGTTGAAATTGTAGGTATAGCACTTTTAATATTTGCCGATTTGTCACTGTACCTACTTGCAAATATTTTTGTTATAATTTAATACGATTTTTTTAAATCAATAGAGATAAAGCATACCTGTAAGGTCCGACAGGTTTATAAATATGAGGAGAAGTAACTATTGTTTTTGTCACTTTGTGCATATTAGTTTTGGATGTATTACTTTTGGCTATAACAAATTTAGATAAAACGTCCGCCTTGGGTGCCGATGGCAACGCTTCTGAACTCATTGTTGATATAAAAATATTAAAGGTCAAAAATTATCAACTAAGAGTTTTGTTATACTAAGATAATGATTTTGCTTGAAATTATAAATACACTTAGTAATGATTTCATTTGTTTACTACATTTATGTACTACATAATAATTTTCTATGATAGTGTACAATGTCTTTCAAAATATTTTTTTCTTTACACTCTTAAACTTCTCTCAAACTTCAAACATGACTTTATATTTTTACAATTTTCTCTATGCAGAGACAAAGTTAAACGAACTTTTTGACACAGGTACAAAAGTAACCAGACGTCCCGTTTCGCCTGCGAAGTGAGGAATCGAAATAATTATCCATGTTCACATAGATAACTAATGCAGTTCATCCATATGTTTTTTGGCAACTCTAATCGGGTCGTAGGCTTGCTTGTCGTCGGGTAGTAAAACTCCGTAGAAGGTGGAAGGATGGAATCTTTTATTTACAAATCTTACAGCTACTTATACTAAAACGTAATATAATATTAACCAATTAAAATTATAAATACAAACTTAACCAATGAGAAATGTACATTTTAAACCAATTACAAGAAAGCTACAATATTTACAATGGAAGGGGAAAGTGACGAGAGGAAAGGGAAAAGGGACTGAGACGCGGGACGAGGGATCGTGTGACGTGGCGTATAAAGGCTGGCATAGAGTTAACGAGATCCTTTTTGCCAGGCGTCGGGTGAGCGTGCGGGTGACTGCGTTGCGGAAGGTTGACATGTGGCGCGCAGCTGTTGACACGCACTTGTTGCGTTGCTTTCTCCTTTGTTTCATACGGACAGTGACGTTGAAATAGTTCTTTTAAGAGCTCCTTATTTCATTGGCGGATATACAAATAAATTTTCCTATAACTGATGTAGTCTTATTACTGTCTTACTGGTGGTGTAGCCACAGTTTCAAAAAAGGCATCCATCTAAAAATTAATATTACAGCTTTATTTATCTTACTGCGACATTTAGAAATCCAATAATAGTCTTTTAATTTCCGTTGCTTGGTCACCCCACTTTCTTTTATTTGTTACAATTTATAAATGATCATGCATGGCCAAATCATGAAGTAGTCATACGATCAGCCGTTCATGTTATGATGTGGGCAGCAAGTTTTTTCCATTTCATAAAATCGGACCATTTTATGAAATGGCCATTTTATGTTTAGAGTATTAAATGGATTCCAGACTGGCACAGCATAATTCAATTAGGAACGAATCAAGGAACTTGGTTACATGAAAGCGATTTATTAAGGTCTTATTAGAAAATATAATATATTTGTAACGGTTCAAGTTTAGTGATATAATTATTTCAATAAACTTCTTAGTTGATTAAACTTTCGTCTGTGGCTCCGATTTCTGGATAGAGAATTTGAAATTAAGAACCTCTCAAACTGTACTTTTATACGGAAACTGGCTGTAAGTTTAGCGTATATGCGGAGGCGAGGCGGTGCAAGCTTTTGAATGGTTTTATTGATGTTTCGCAACATTATGATCATAAAATTTAATCACACTTTTATCTTTGGACGTGCAGCACTATCCTTCATTATGTACTTGAACAAAAACATTGAGCGTTTAAACCCACCTAAAATTGCACTTGGGCGCTAGGAGGCTAAATATCTACTATCCATTAGCAATTTTGTAGCAAATCGCAGAACAATGTTCACAGGAAAATTAGTATGTATTTTAAGGTTAAGATAAAGGGATCTTAATGAAAAACTGCTACTGAAAGGTTTCATTTTTTTCTACCTTTCGAAAACCTTGGTTCGCTATATCCAATAACTATCTCCGAAGAAAAATTCTACACTCAAATAAATAGATTGAGATTCGGACATTACCAATTTAAAGCTCATTTAAGTCATATGCATATGATAACATTCCCAGTATGCACCGAATGTTCATCTCAAGAAAACCAAACACTTGAACACATATTTTTTTCATGCCCAACCCACAATATCTCGTTTAAAAGACACAAGACTATCAGGATCCTTAGCTTGTCCAGAAATCTTAGTACCGATTTATGACTATATTAGCTCCACTCTTGGAGAAATCTGATTTGACCTTCTGTAAAATATGTAAAATAATAACCCTGGACAAGACAATGAAATTTAAATCTAAAGATCTGGCTATCAGCTTTTTGAAAGAAAAAACAAGACAAGACGGAATAAAAAGAAGAGAAGAAGAAAAGATATTTCATTGCCTTGTAAAATAATATAATAAAGAATATTATTACCCAAGATTTGGCTGTATGGCTTAGTACCTTCGCCTGCCCATGGACAAACTACCACTACTACTCTCCAGACGAAAGTACGTGAAACTTCTAAATTGGCGGTCTTTTTGATTCTCGTGAAATTTTTTTCTTGTTAATATTGCACATATCTCTGTTTTCTGTATATATTCTGTTAAGTTTTAGGTAGTATTTGTTTATATAGTTAAATTGTATAGGAGTTTATTGGTAAGTTTCATTTTTCTTTTCTGATGATGAAAGATTGCCAAAAAACGGAAAAATCACAATTCTTTAAGTCAGACCAGCACTATTGTAGAGTCTGAGTCAAGTGACTATGAATACTCCGACAGGTTGTAAGAAAATTACGATAAGTACTCACCTGATAGTTAGGTATTACTGGCGCAGCTATCCCGGAGATAGCGCGGCTGGCTACAAATTAATTGTTTTTGTAGACAACGTAAATGAAAATCCTATCGGTATACGGGATATGATGCACCTTAGAGGATGTTTTACCCGTTTTGTTAAACTTATTAAGTATTTGAAAAAGGTTAACAAATGCAAAGTAGTTATAATCTTCAACAGCGCCAACCTAACCAATACGTTCTTATATAAAACGATATTTCAGCGAGAACAAAACCACTGAATTGACAGGAGTTATCAACTCTGTCCCCACAGAAATGTCTAATAAAAAAATATTTAATGCTCTCTCCAGTTCCAAAAAAATAACCTGTATTCGGCGTTTGATGAAAAAAGTAAAGTAGACGACAAATGAGGAAGTATTTAAAAAAAAACATTAGTTCCCGAAATCAAATGAGATGTCGTTACGGTACGTTCTTGATTTTTCCATGACAACCCTTCCGGCTTTCTTTCATGTTTAAAAGTAAATTAGTTTCATAACTCAATAAACAACTCATATTCTATTTGTGCGTTATCGTATTTGTATTGATTTCTAAGTTTCGAACTTTTCAAATTTCAGTTTTTTTAATATGTTAGTTAAAAGGAACGGAATGCCTTTGGTCTATTCGTTTCCTGCAAAAATCAACTTTTGCTAGAGTCGCCATTTAGTGAAGGTGCTTTTTTTGTGCGTTCGATTTTTTTAAATACTACCTCATTTCAACTAGTGCCAATCCAATCTGTAGCGATTACATTTTCGACCTCAGTATCTTTACCAGACTTTGTATACATAAAAATGTAGCAACTTCCAGTTTTGCCTAACATTCCCCCTTTAAAGCAATGTTTCAAGTGCTTTTGGTTCAGTTATTTGGCTTAATATTGCCACAATTCACAAAGATGTACAGAGTCTCATAGTTTCAAATGTAATGTGCCTTTAGTAAAGGCCACCTGTATCCACTGTCAAGAGAACCATATATCAGTACAATGCCTTATATAAAAAAAAAAAAACTAAAATATTAAGCAAAAGTAACCATCACTCCTTTTTCAAATTTATTAAATTACAAAGACACAATCTTTCCATCATTAAATAACTCTTAAAATAGTCAGGAAGGAAGGAATTAAAATCTTAACATTAAATAAAACAAACAATACAAATCAGTTCTCAAATAAATATATTATCGTGTCTAAAAAGACACAATTAAAGAAACTTTACAGAATAAAATAATAAAATATGAATATGTATAAAAACGCAATTAATATAGTACCTACAGTGGAATGCAAAAAGTTTATTAAGCAATCGACATGAATTTCAGAAGTTTCTTTACGATACTAAGGAAACCTTTGGAATAATTCACATAGCCTTAATTTGTAAAACATGGCTAAATAATAATAATAATAATGATAATTTTTATTTCGGACAACATTCGGGAATCCATATTCTTTTTGTTAGCTTTACACAAAATAAACTTAAATCTACTGTTAGTATCGTTTACAATTACTTAGAAACTAATTTTCTGTCCATAATACATCTCCGGACACAATGTGCTATAATAGTATAACAGTCGGGGCCCATTCAAATTTTATCAATCAAATCTTCCCAAGGGGCCCCGATTGTGAGTCTTTCTGTTCTGTATTACTTAACAGAATTCTAAACTACTGAGCTTGTTTCTTTCTTTTAAGTTTTTATTTAAGTTGATTTTTTCATGTATTTTTAAAATTCGTTTTTAAAAATTTGTTAAATATGTAATAATTTTCCTAAAGCCCCCTTTACTTAAGTTAAATTTTTGCATAAGTGACAGTGTCACACTGGGAGTGCGATATCTTTACATAGAAGGAAGAGTCAAAAGTTTCAGGGATATAAAATACAGTTTACAACTGTCAGTTGGTTTTATATTACAAATAGCTCGTATAATTTTTTTTTTTTGAGCTTTATATACATTTTCCTTATTAACTGAGTTTCCCCATAATATTAATCTGTATCGGAGTATAGATGCTACATGCGCATGATATGCAGTTAAGATTGTTTAAGAAACACTGACTACATTTGCAAGCATATATAGCCAATAAGAAAATTTACTCAATTTAATGCTGACATTCTCAGTATGCAGTCTACATTTAAACCCAAAAACTTAGTTACTTCCACTTCTCCTACATTATTATTACAATGCTATTTCTAAACGTAATAGTGTCAATATTTTTAGCAGAATTTGTTTTAAGCCGCATTACAATGTCAATGAGTGTATAATTTATATCAATTTGAAGTAGAGATAAATTGTTATTGGAAAAAATTACTACCGTCGTTACATATCAAAATCATCAAAGAAGCTACTATAGAAGGCAAGTCATTAATACATATTAAAAATAATAAGGGGCCAAGAACATTGCCTTGAGGTACGCCGTAGTGTACCTGACTATTTTCAAACATGTATTTACCCTCTGATTTTGACTTAGGATATATTTTTGTGATTATGGTCGCTTACTCTCTATTACTTAAGTACGACATTATCACAAAACCTTGGTTCACTTTGGGATCCCATTACAATGGTAGAAAATATTATACTATAATTTCTTCTCAGGCTTGGACATTGTCGTTTTATTTAATGCTCACCTTCATAAAATAAATATAGTGTCGTCACCTATCTGCAATTATTGCAATTCAAGTAGCCAAACTTTGGATCATCTTTTCTTTGAATGTAGTCATTTTACTCTTGCTAGGATTCTTTTCATAGATCATCTTCTGTAGAGTTATCATAAACTTTAAAATATTGTTTTAAAGTTTATGATAACTCTCCAGAACAACTACCGGAGATATATAAAATTTAAATTATGACATAACGGACAAAAAGTGAAATATTTTGATCTGACAATTTGTGATATTATACTTTGATTTTACTTTTACAATAAAAACAAGGCCTTCGTGGTGATATTCTTTATATTGTTGTTTATTATTAAAGACATGGCCAATTTTTTCCTATGATATTGAAGAAAAATTTTGTACAACAGACAATGGCTGTGTGGGCTTAGCTCTCTGCGCTTTTTCTTTACAAAACAATCTATATGTGTCAATGTCACAATTTTCACTAAGTGGGTAAGGTTATGTTAATGGTCAAACGGTAATAAAAATGCAAAAAATACTTACTGTTGCGAAGATGATATCTAATACATTGGGGAACAAAACTATGATTGCACCAAATTTATATGGAAGCTTTAAAAATGCAACCGAAAGCAGGTTACTTACTCCGATCACTCCAATGATTAATCTTATTTGTAACATGAAAGTCAAAGGTAGAGTTCGAAGACGCTGCAAAGCCTGCTATTTTGTAGTAAGAGATCAACGCTATTATATAATGTGCCCTAAATTTCCACGCCACAAGCAAATGGCTATGAGACAAAAACCACACAACAGATACATATTGACTAGCGCAAGTCAAAGCCCTGTGAGACCATGGTGATGACCTACACATCTCATTTTACTTAGCCAAAATAAGTAGTAAACATAAATAAAATATTCATACTTCACATAGATTTCTTTTTCTTTTATTATACTCTTTGTTTAGTGTAACAAAATGTGTGGAAATACTATTTATAATAAATGAAAAAAAAATCTTAAACAACCTCTTGAGTTTCAGTCGTAGGCCTGCCTAACAAATTTAAGTTAAAAAAAATTGTTAATAGTATATCTATGCTATAATTTTTAAAGTGACAAATCCCTCAATGCTAAATATTTTATTCAGAAGTAGAGGATATCATCTATTAATGCAAAGTGATATAGCGCTTTCATGCTCATCTTAGTCATGACAGATCTGCTATTAGTCTCCTCCATTGGGATCCCAATGGAATTATCAAAAATAATAACTGTCTAATTGAAGACATGAACAAAGGGAAACCCTTATAAGTTCAAGTAAAAATCCACTTTAGAATATTTTAATATCTATTATATTTAAGTAAAAGTGATTAAAAGGGAGGCAGAATTTCTCAAGAGGATTCCTCTCAAAATAAAGTTTTAAAATCATAGACTTTTGGTAAACTTTTCTTATAGAACTATTTTCTATTCTGTGATTATTATAAGTAACAAAATATTTACTTAAGCTAAACATATTTTGTCTGCAGATTCTAATAAATAAACTTTATTAGATTATTATCTAATAATGATACAATTTGAGTTCTGCTTTAACTTGAATAACTCGAGTGAATTTTTCAAACTCATACTATAGTGAAAAAATATCAATCAAGTCTATACACTTCAGTTATCAAGTTGATTCTCTTGCTACTAGAAGTCACTCTAGTCAAGTCTCTGGATTACTTAAATAAATCATATGTCAAAACTCTTAATGCGTGTTCTATTTATGTTATAAATGTACTTGTTTAAATTTTCTAAGAGAAATATCACTTGAATAGCATATTTGAAATTTTTTAGGTAGTTAATTGACTTGAATGATTATCAAAATCCTATTAGAGTCGCATCACTATTATCTAACAGGATGACCACAACAAGCAACTTATTTTCAATAGCATCAACTACCTATGAGGAAGTATTTAAAAAAATAAAATTAGTTCCCGAAATCAAAATAGATATCGCTACGGTACTTTCTTGATTTCTCCATGACAACCTTAACGGTTACTTTTAATTTTAAAAGTAAATTAATTTTCAAAACCCAATAAACAACTTTATAACTAACATTGAACTAACATATTCTTTTTGTACTTTCTCGTGTTTATATTGATATCTGAATTCCGAACTTAGCAAATTTCAGTTTTTAAATATGTTAGTTAAAAGGAACGGAAGTGAGTCCATTGGTTTCCTGCAAAAATCAACTTTTGCTAGAGTCGCCATCTAGTGAGGTGCATTTTAGTGTTGTTTTTTCTTAAGATACTTCCTCATTGAACCGGTGACTCGAGTCACAAAATCCTATTCGAGTCTCATCACTAACTAGTTTTGATTTATTGGTGAAAATACTTGTTGAAACCATGAATATCGATTTAAGGGTCCAATAAAATATATGTTTCAAACATTTAATTTTACATCAAAGGTATGAAATACTTCACTTGACATTGGCAGAATTGTGCGAAATGCGCAGATAAGCCATTAAAAATATATTATATAATATAAGTTCGAGAAGAAAAGTATCTCGATTATAGAAGACCTATTGAAAGATAATTGTGATACTTGGTGCATAAATGTTGAAGTCTTGCTTGTTAAGTAGAAACTATAGAAATGAGTTGAAAAGTACACTACACAGACAGTTTGATAGAAGAACAGAAAGAATAAAACTTTATTTAAAAAATGGAACCGACTTCAAATGTAAAAAAGTGAATAATAATACTTATCTTAAAAGCGGTAAACTTAAAAAATATATATATAAGTCGGGCGGGTAATTTTTAATTAACTACAGAAAACTTCAGCCTCTCTACAAGTTGAAATCGGTTCGGTTTAATTTATCCATTTTAGTGATATTAATAGTTTTGGGATAACAAACATCACGCATACTTAATGTAAATTTAAGACTTATATGGTTTTCTCATAGGTGTCATTGCCAAGATGGGCCTACACGGCAAGCACTAGCTTTTTAAATAAAGAAAGTATTATCAAAACCCAGTAAAAAATTATAAAGTAACAAACAGAAAAAAATACAGTCAAACTGAGAACTTCTTCCTTTATTTTTAGTCTGTTAAAAATATGATTGTTGGATGGGCATTAATTTTAGTGATATTGAAATATACATTTTATTATTCTGTCTACGTATTTTTATTAAATATTTTTCTAGTTTCGAGTGGAAAAATAATGTAGTCATTTAATATGTCATAGAGTCTGGCAAGCGAAACGTGTCACAAGAAAAGGGCGGCAATTTCAAAAATTCTTAAGCAGTAAACACTGAATGTAGTACTGCAAAATAATTTTGATACTTTTATTAATTATATTTAATCTTAACATTTAGATATCAATTAAAATTATTTGTTTTGGAACATTTGACTAAAGCGTGACTGTTCTTAATTGTACAGTTAACAGCATATCAGTAGGCCTATTCACTAACTCAACTGACAACCAAGAATCGTCATCACCGTAAAAAATAGACACTTTGATTGTGTCAAAATCACTATTTCGTATTCTCTATCAATGATGAGCAATTTCGAAATGTCAATATCGGCATTCTCCACTGGACTCCATTTTGACACTTGATTTCGTATCGATAAACTGTATTAAAGTAACATTGTTGCAAAGCATATTTGAAGTCGTCGCATAGTACCTCTTAAGCCATTTGTTGTTAAATTAAAGCGAAAAAAAATACGTATCCAATATTTTTCTATTATCTGACTGACGGACTAAATCGAATCTTTTTTTTAACCCATTCGTTATACCTATTGGCTAACAGCACTTATAATATTAAAAATTCATATTTGTCATTAATTAAAAGGGTGTTTTTTGCAACGACTTCTTTGTTTTTTTGTAATGAATATGGGCGACTCTGGCCACATTTTTTTAATAAATGTGATGTTAGCCAATTTTGATTTCTGGCCCTTATATTTATAATGTGTTCATAACACATACATGTCTCCTAAGGGATTTTCATCACAACCTTTTGCTCTGATCCAGAACCACTATCTATCAAATTAAATTAGTCAATATAAACACCAGATTACAATAAAAAAAACATTTATTTTTGTTACAATTAAGTGCCATGGATAAATTACATAATACAGGTGTCACAAAATCATCATGTTAATCACAATAGAAAATTTAAGATAAGATTTTGACTATGAATCAGACTAAAAATACTTTAGTCTGATTCATAGTCAAAATCTGTTTCTAAATATTCTACACCTGATAACAATGACAAGGAATCATCAGAGTCACTCTCTTCACTACTGTCTGCACCAACAGATATAATAAATTTTTCAAGTTCGTTTTCAACAATGCCATCTTTTAATTTGTAATCATTTTCGACATTTAAAACATGATCAGTGTATTTCTTCCAGTCACTAGGGGTAATTAAGTTAAAACACTCTATTATTAAGTTTTCCATTTCCTTTCCTGGTATTCCAATGTTTCTGCTTGCAATTTTTCTTTTTGCTTGACTCCAAACCATCTCTATTGGGTTTAAGTCACAATGATACGGTGGCAGCAATAAAAGTTCATGATTATGTTCTTTTAAAATCTCTTCAGCTTCATATACAGGCAATGTTTTCTTATCATTAACCAAACACATTAACTCTGCCTTTGTCTGATATTCCTCAAAATGTATTCCATTATTTACAAGCCATTTACGGATATCTGCTTTGGTATTAGACATTATAGGCGGTTTATTGATTTGTTTTATATGGTAGCTGGCATTATCCATAACAATTACACTGGGCTTACTTAAATTTGGTATTAATTTTTCTCTGACCCATTTCATAAAGTTCGATGAGTTCATATCATCATGATAATCAGCAGATTTGGATTTACTACTGAACACTAATAATGCACCAGGCACAAAACCTTCCTCAGATCCAGCATGCACAACAATATGCCGTTTTCCAGAGGATATCTTTGTAGTGACACCAGTTGTCGAAGGTCCTTGCCAAGACTTTTTAACTTTATAATTCTGATGTACATAAGTTTCATCAAGGTACACAATTTGCTTTCCTTCGTTTCGTTTTATATTTATTTCTCTCAAATACTTGTGCCTCCATGCAGAAATCTGGTATTTTTCTATAAGCATAGAACGTTCATTTTCATTGCTTTTAAAAGAAAATCCATTCTTAAGCATAATTTTTCGTAAAGTCTCACGGCTACCACTGAATCCTATTGCATCTTTTAATTCATTGTGAAGGCTTCTTAATGTTGGAACAATTTTTTTCACACAGTAAAATTCATTTACTTTATTCCGAATTGCACTTAAATCAAAATTATCTAAAGCAGACACTGTTGGTTGATGAGGTCGTTTTTTCCCAGGAGTGTCCCATTTTCCTTTATTAATTAATGCTTCATTTTTTATCCTTCTTAGTGTCCTTATACTTACATCTATAAAAGATTAAACACTTTGAAACAAAGATATGTTAAATGTATTTAAAAGCAAATAATGATAGACACATACATCAAAATAATTTAAATACCTATTCAACTATGAATGCAATTTATGTTTAATTTAGTTAAGTTTATGTGCATATTTAGCATGTATAACAATTACATGGTTTGATTAGTTTCATGAATTCTGTGAATTTCCTTGTTAAACAAAACATTCTTATGACATCATTGGATGTCAACAATAAAAACCAATACATCATAAAAAACCTATGTAAATATTATAGGAATACTATCAATCTATCTTAAATCAAAACAAGAAAAGAGACCTGTCATTGAAGAAATTTTTTGTAAGTACTGCGTTTCCGAATTCAGCATTTCTTGTTTTTCTAAAGTTTTTATTGCATTTATCCCCTCCATTATTGGTTGAATATCACCATCACAGTTATCTGAAATAGAGCAATATTTTATAAAAAATATCTGTTTAGTTAATTACAGAAAATTAAAACGAAAGTATCAAAATTATAATACAAAACTAACCTAAAAAAGATACAACTTTATCTAATCGTTGTAATTTCTCCATGAAATTTTTATTTAATTCAGTTTTCACTTCAGTAAACTTGTCAATCATGATGGAAAGAAGTTTCCTCGATGAACTTTTTATCGGCTTCGACATAATTTTTAACCAAAAACACAAGTTCAAATTCGCAAAAACAACAAAATTCAATATTCTTGAATTGTCTAACGTAGTGTCAAACTGACAGTTCTATGTTGTTGCCATATGAAAACGGAAAAATAGGTGGTGTCACGTTTCGCTTGCCAAACTCTATCAATATAATATATTGACATGATTTACATCGCATTGACACAGTGACGCCATCTAACGGAAATCCTGTTAAACCTGTATCTGTCAACGTCATAAAAAAATTGGTGAGTGGGCTCTCTTTTCCCTAACACATACTTTTACTCTTTGTACTACTCTTTGTTTTAATTAATAACAAAGAGTAGTATTATAAATTAATACGACTTTGGAGTTTGCAAAGCGTAGTATGGAGTATGTAGTATCTCCTTACTAGTCTGTGGTATATTTCAAAAGAGAAATTGGGTTAAACGGTATGTAATGTTAAAATAAAATAAAATATTACTTTCAATAAAGTAAACTGGCTATCACGTAAACATCATGAATATACAAGGTAATCTAATAATATAATATAAATACATTTATCATTAAGTCCTGTCTCAGATAAAAGTGGTTGCATGAAAATGTTTTTTACTCGGTAATTACTGGAAACTGTGTTTTAATATTTTTCTATAATTCAAACATGATATATGAATTTTAATTCATATTTGTATCTATAATTTTAAAGACATACAAACATTCTGATTTTAAACATTAAAATTAAAATTGAAAACATTAAGATTTGAATTTGACCAATGTCAATAAACAAAAAAATTCAATACCTTCTAACTAAAGGTAATTTATTGTATACAACATATTTGGATATGTGAAGAGTGAAATCCTTGACGCAAAATAAGAATTTATTAATGACTCCCTAAGTCCCATGGTATTAGCATCTGGATTTAATACTGCCAAAGAGGCCATATTATGAATGCATTGTACACGAATCTTTTGCCAATAAGCCATTACCTCAGTGTATTGCTTAAAATTATATAATTTATTGAAAAGTATAATAAAAACAAGATGAGACCAAAAAACCCACTCACTTCTGTAGCACATTAGGGATGTTCTCTTATGCCTAGGTGAATATACTATTATAAAAGGTGCACATCTCTGATACCAAGGATATTGACCAGTTTCAACACTATTCTCAAACTATTTGTGGATCGATATAACTGTTAGCCCATGAACCATTGTAATATTGTTAATTTGTATTTGTGACATAAATTGGGATAAGTAGTAAATATGTGCATCTAATATGATCCTAGTAAGTGGTAATAAATAAATAACTATTATTTGTTTACAATTCAATTAGTTTTTATTATGCAATGATGTAATGTGGTAGTCACATTTTAAAATTGAACTGGTGCCATCTAGCAAGGGCAAGTGAAGAAAATAATTCTATAGAATAAGTAATATTTTGAAACATTAATGTTAGATATTAATATTTCAAAATACTTTTTATTAAAATCATAATGATATAACAAACACATTTTAATTTCAGAACAAGATTGTGCGGTATGTTTACAAAAATGTCATCATCCCACACAGTTACCATGTGGACATGTTTTCTGTTTTCTTTGTGTAAAGGTGAATTAATTTAGTTTTAAATTTCACTTACAAGTTTTCAGTTATTGCAATAGATAGAAGGAATATATAATAAATGTATGATGTTATCATATATACAAATATATACTAAAATTAGAGAGCTAATAAATTTTTCTCATTTAGTAGTCATAAATGTTAGCCAATCCAATTTGATTATTTAATTATGAGGATGTTGTTGTATATTCTGTTAGTGATCTATCATCTTATAAAAAAATAGATGTTTATATGCTCATGATAGCGAATCATGACATAATTTATAATAAAAAGAAAATGAACATAAAATTGCTGTTTGATTAAGAAATATATGTACCGGTTCTTCCTCATAAATAATCCTAATATTTAACCAAGGAAAGGAATTGACAAATAGTTTGTAATAAAAATGTGCTAGAGCATTAAAAAGCTTGATTTTTCAGTATTTTGAAATACTGATGGTATTCATGACTAACAAAAATTACTAACCATACCCAGTGCAGATCAGGTGCTGGAACACTTATCGGTGGTTGTGCAAAACAAACTAGCGACCACTGAATGTGGTCGTTCCAATTAATAAGTCTGATTATTTTTGCTCCCTAATCCTAAAATTAGGCATTAAATGCATGGTTAAAGTTTGACTAAATACCTAGCCTATGATTCTACAATAAATGATTATTAAGCTATATTTAAACTGCCTGCAACAGTGTTATAAATCCTCCATTTAAATTTTGCAGGGTGTTGCTATCCAAAACAAAAAGTGTGCTATGTGCCGAGCAGAAATTCCATCAGATTATCTTGATCATCCCATATTACTGGAAAAATTATCTTCACAAGAATCAGCTATTGAAAATATAAATAAAGATTTTCAATGGTATTATCAGGGACGCAATGGTAACTTTTTATACAAAGTTATTTTAGCTAATTTATTGTTGTTATAGCATACCATTATTACATTCATCCAAAAATTACGTCACAAGAGGTGGGACACATTTTAGGACATCTAACTTTAGAAAAATTAAATTAAAGCACAAATTTTGGAGAAATTGAAATAATATTTTAAAACTTTATTTAAATGGGACATTAAACTCATTTCAGGTGTGCTATTTTAATAAAATTAATTTAAATAGTTTTTAAGATCGAAACGAAACACTTGTGCAGCATTAAATATGAAACGGGATAATTTCTCACAATTAAATAGGGTAGTCTCACAGATGTGGAGGGAGGGGAGGAGGGGGTACTATTCTGTAATTGGAATGGAATATTTTTGGAAGGTTTGATATTTTGTAACTAAACAGTATAATCAGAGTATTTTGTATCATATTTATATAATTTTCAATTAACTAAAAACAAAACCTTATAGAGCAGGGGTGGCCAACTTGTTTAGGCCCAAGATCGACTTTTCACTGACGACCCCAGTACGATGTACCAATAACTTTACTTCTTAAAATCTTAAATGAAACAGCATAGTTTGTACACAATTATGTAGCATTTTGATTTTATTTATATTTTTTGAATTGCCACAATCGACTGGACTAATAGTCGTGATCTACTGGTCGATCGCGATCGACTGGTTGGCCACCCATGTTATAGAGACTTAATATTTCTTTTTTGTTTTAAGGTTGGTGGAAATACGACGAGCGCAGCAATGAAGAATTGGAAGTGGCATTTAATTCAGGAGAAACAAATTTTACACTTCTCTTGGCTGGAGCACTATATAGTATAGACTTTCAAACTATGATGCAAGTCCGTTCCAATGATCCGACTCGCCGGCGACATATACGTAGAGATATACCGACATTACCCGCAAAAGGTCAATATTTTTAAACCATGTTTTATTTCGTAGTTACATTTCGTAATTGATATTAATTTACTTATTCCCTTTTTGTCTCACCAAGTCTCTTAAAATATAAACACAATATTCATTGAAATCTTTGATCAAAATAATAAAGGGAAACTGCTATGTCAAACAGCAAAATCACAAAAACAGCAATCCCGAATAAAGGGAATCAAAATAATACTGTATAAGCCCTTTGTTAATGGAAGCTACAAATTAGGTGCATGTACATTATCTCACTTTTAACATTATTAGGACGGTCATTGATCACTTCACAAAGGACACACACTCTAAGAACAAAAACATGCATGAAATTGAAAAAGATGAAAAAAAAAACTGTACTGTTTTAACTGTGAAAAAACTGTACTGTAAAATCTGTAAAAAAACTGTTCGCCATTTGCAAGAAATAATTTACCACATGTACATGTGCAAGTCAGACAATGAGTCTAGGCTGCGCAACGTGTTGCTACGCATATCCGTGTAATGGTCAGTTCCAGTCTCATTCATGTTAGTGTTGAAATTTATTGCTGTTGCCCGCTCGCCCGACTGACATACCGATACCGATCACGAGAATTCCAGTCTCGCTGACGCTATAGTTTGAAATCATAGCTGCATCTTGCTTGTCAATTCAACTATGAGTATCTATAGTCCTCCTTAACCCTCCATAAGGAAGGCCTGAGCCCCTGCAGTGGGAACGTAAAAGGGCTGATGATGATGGAATATGAGTATGCCGTATCTTCTCTTTATTAATTTAATCAAAGATTGAAATAGATTTTTAAAAATGTAGTTATGTCGTAAAGTCATAATATAATTTCTTATTGCTAACATCTGCAGGCATATGTCAGTGTAGAATGGATACACCTAATCTCCGCATGAGATAAATAATAACAATCGTTATTCCACAAAGAAACTTTGAAACACTGTTTGCACAAAACTGTTTTATTCCACTTCTTATATCAGCTCACTGTTGAGGTATATTGTCTTTGACTTGTTGCAATTATAACATTTTGTCTCAAAGGCTAGACGCTTCCTTATTTTGCTGTTTGACATAGCAGTTTTATTGTGGTGGCAACTTTGTGTTCCATTTGTCACTCGCCGATGATTTTTTTTTCCTATCGATGCCGGCGCCACATAGTGAAATATTATTTTATATTATAACTCGGCGAAGTACTATGTTGGTCCGCGGTTGACATCGGCGAAATATTTTATAATATTATCCTAAACAGGACGAGGTGACTCGACTAGCGTAGTAAGCGTCACTTAAATTTGATGACATGAATTGTCATATAGAAGTATGACCTTCTGCTCCTGGATGGCCTGTCGCCTTGTCTTAACTCCATTCAGGAGTTTTTTTTTTTGGGGTCAAGAACTCCTAATCTTTAAGTAAATTTATGAAGTAGCTGCCCTGGGACGCTCCAGCTGTCACTAGGCTTGTGATTTGGACACATGTGATTTGGGATCCGTTTTTTTTTTCGATTTCACAACATACCCACATCGGCAGCCCACAAATACTCACATACCACACCAGTCCTCCCCCTCCAAAATGCCAAGTTGGAATTATTACCTCTTAAATTTTACTATTTATTATAGTAACATTTAAACGAAACGGAAAAAAACAGCAATTGCCACGGCCCCGTTTATACTGTAGTCTTTTGCAATGTTTCTCTGTCTAGCCTTTAATAACTTGTCCAATGCATTCGCAACGCAGCATTTTTCATTGAGACCGATGCCAATAAAGGATTGAGAGTTTTCTTGGTGGTTTATATTAACCTCCCACCCTTTATGTATGGTATAAAAAAGAAAAAAAGGCTACAATTTCTTGTTTGGAGGTTCCAGGACTATTTTCTTTTAAATATAATCTCGATGCTTCTGCACTAATTAAATACTTTATAATGAAGTTCAGAGTTTTCAATTGTTGTCATCTTTCGCCATTAATTTGTTTTTTTTTGGTGGAATTTTGAGTCTTAATTCTGAAATAATTTTAGACACCGTCAGATTTTCCCGTAATTCGCTCAATTCACATGTCATATCAAGATTTATAACAGTTTGAAAGTAATGTTCTAAAGATTTCTCTTTCTGTTCTATGGTGAAAAAATTCATTTCGTAGTATTGTTAGGCTTTTCTTTGGCGAGAAGTAAGTCTCAAATAAAATAAGAGTTTCTTCTATTGTTTCCTTTCCTGAATTGTATATTTTTATGCCTTTTTCTCCGATGAGATTGAGTAGAATATTAGTTTTTCGTTTGTTACTATGTCCAAATCATTCAACTCGATTAAAATCATAAGACGCTGACTCCATGACTTAAAATCATAAGCGACATTTCCGCTGAACTCCAACGGTGGGAGTCCACCTCCATACTGATACCATGTTGTCATTAATTTATTCTGTTCTAGCATTAGTACAGCGAAACCGCCATTTTTATTATAATCAATTAAGACAATATGCCTCAACAGTACACCTGCATTAATTTAAAATGTTGTCTTGAATAAACAATTGAAGTTACAATTACGCGTACCCGGTATTTCATCATTTAGCTTTTGGCATACAAACTTTTATGCCATAATTTACCGGTCCTGATATCTGGCCGCCCTTGGCCTTAGGGTAAATCCGCCTCTGTATCACATATATTGATTGTATAGCTCATACTATACTGTCATCGCATGTGCGTTTGTATTGTACACACGACTGCACTTCCGGTTACCACGATATGTCAAAATTTCTGCAATGTTATTTCAACCTATAGCCTCAATTCAGATTTAAAAACCACTGGAGAAATTTGATAGTTTTGTATAGTCTGGCGTGCTGTTGACTGTATGAGAACACTTTCATATAAATGCTACGTCTTAGATTTTACATGACCCGCCCAAGCTTGCGAGTAACGTTAGCCTTACTAATTCAGTTTGTGTCTTTCACTTTTTAGGTGTAGCTGGAATTAAAATCTTCGAAAACACACAAACCGAACAAACAAAAAGGAATACGGAAGACGATTTAAATGAAGTTGAAGTTATAAGTAGTCACTCTGAGGATGAAGTTATTGAAATTGAAGATGATGATGAAAGCGATGTCGTTCCAGACGAGAGTACCAATTCTAATTCATCTATCGATATAAACAGTTATTTTAGGTAATCTCATTCAGATATTTTGCTATATATACAAATATTTATATCATTTAGGTACATTTAATCTCCTAGAAAACTGTGCAACGAGCATCAGGACATTATAAAGAGGCCTAATTTACTGTTATTTTTCGAATAGTTTATGTCGTTGAAGGACTGAACGGAACATAAAGTAACTAGTTGAGTTGTCGTAGTGCATTTGAACGATTTTAAGAATAGACTGTTTAGACAACTCTGTTGTTGTCGTCGTCGGTGTGGATGTGAAAATGACCTTCCTTTTATACTGTTTCCAAGTTTAGTATTGTTATAGAACCAAATATTGATTTGGCTTATGTGATTAAAAAATTCAATTTTGTATTTATCCCAGAAAATTAATGCATTGGCATCTCTATATCTTTACGTTAAAGTTTATTTAAAAAACGTACTTTAACGTAATTGAGCGAGATCACGCGATTAGGTTTGTCACCTCTTAAAACGGCAAAGCCGGTCTGACCAGGCAGTTTACCCGATGATACCGATCAAGGCCGGACACCCTAAAAATCAATGATTTTTAGAGTGGTTAAGACCTCACGGCGGAGTGAGAACTGCATCCGGCTTGAATAATTTATGCATGTGTCGCGAAATGGCGGCTCGATTAATTCGTGCACGAGACGCGAGATGGCCTAAGATGTAAAAACCTAACAAAAACCGGACGGACCGGACACCGGCTAATTTAGCCGGACAGACATGCAAAAAGCCTGACCCTGTCCGGCTTTATCCGGACGGATGGCAACCCTACACGCGATTACTCACGAATAACAGATAAATAGACGTTGGTATTCGGTCGCGCTGTGCCGCAGACCGCCGTGCTGTGTTTGACTATTCAAGCAGCTTACAACTTAGTTCACCATTAACTAGCTGACCGGTTGATACTCAATAAATAGTCTAAAAAACCTGCCAAATGCGAGTCAGACTCGCTCACGAAACGTTTAGTACCATTACCCATTAAAAAAAGTAAAAAAAAAAACACGTTTATCGTGTTCTATAGGGTAATTCGAAATTTTCGAGTTAGAAACAATTGGTCGACTATTATTCGTAAACGTGTAAAGCCAACTTAAGTATGATAGTTTTCCTTCTAACTTCATTATACAAAGGTATTACTGCCTTAACGTTTAAATTTTCACCAACAACCGTTTAGTTGGTAGAGGGGATTAATCTTGATATGGACACTTGACTCTTACCGATAATTAGCTCTTTAAAGCTTAATAAGTCACAAACGGTTTACTAAAACAAAAAACGGCTATCCCACAGCCCCAATGTTTTCGCTTAATCAACATGTATACTCATTACAAATTTCCAATTACAAATTTCTAGTATCAATAGTTTTTAAACTAAACAGCGGATGGGTGGACGGAAAGTCGGACAACACGAAACTGTAAGGGTTCCTTGTTTACTATGGAAACTTAAAAAGGTTCATTCATTCAATACCTGTGCAACCGCCCTACAATTTGACGGAAAAACGCTCCGCTTATGCACTTTGTACCAGCGGCGATGACTGATGACAAGCATTACGTCGCTCGCCGGGCGTATGCGCATCCTTGTCGCACGCGCTTGCTTTGTCATTTCTCTAATAATTCATAATTTGCTTATATTTACTATTTCATATAATTCTTTTCATTAATACAATTCTATTCTGTGTGCAATCAATATATCCTTCATTCTTGGTGCTTATGCTTCTTTTCTTTCTTGTGAACTGCATCGTTTTGTGCTGTCTAATTTGAACATTAATATCGGGTTCGACTCCCGAATTTTATGTGGGATTGTCCCATCAAATCTTCAGAACCGCTGAACGGATTGTGGTATCTTTAAACTCGTCTAATGTTTTCACAAAATAGCTTAAGCAGATTTGACGTTTCACCAAACATGTAACGTTAGGTTATGGCATACTAAGTACTTGCTTATTTAGTCAATGTTTGTCTATGATTTAACATGATTCAGTTCCTCTTCTTATTTATAATGTATTCCGCCTTAACAATTCCGCCAATGTCACATTAGTGGCCTTTACACGTAAAGAGACAAAAATATATGTGGTCTTGTATTTACATGAGCACCCAAGACTCATTTTTTTTTTATTATTAGTTGAAGAACCGATGGTTTTGGTTACAGATATCAATTTTGAAAATCTGATATAATTTCTCTTCGACGCTGACAGTAAACACAAAGAATGGTGCAGGATTTTTGGCGCCATTACTTGGAGAGATGATTTTTATGAACTAGCTATTGGTAATATTGTATTAATAATTGAGGGTCACATGCCAATATCTGCGTATGAACCAATGCTCTAGGTGTTAGTTCCAATATGATGCGGCCCCGTTAACTTATAGATTAACTGATAGGTAGTTCGCAACCACGTGGTTACTACTTTTACCCCTCAATGTCAACCCCTTTTCACGTAATTAAATAAACGATAGTTAATCATGAAGAAATTAATTTTGCAAGTGCCGCGGTCACAGTTCAACTAGCCGAAACATTAACTAACGAATATAACAGCTAATGCAACACATTTTTTTCATTCTAACTCAATCTAAATTGGACATTAGCTTTCTTACTTTCTTTGATAAACATGCACATTTTTAAATGTAATTTATATCGTTATATGACTGTAAAAAAAAATACCCAAAATAAATAATGAAATTAAGTAACAACTACGAGTACTTTAAACGCCGGTATTTTTGGCGCACTGGTCGTGACGCCACAATACGCAACTACAGAGATTAGATTTTGAGATTACTCAATATAATTGTTAATAATAATAATTCTTTATTTGTTATAGGGTAGTTTACAGAAGTGGATGGTTGTCTTCAATAACGTACTTAGACCTATTTAGCCATATTATATCAATAGCATGCAAATGTCACCTCTACAAAATTTTAAACCGATTTCCTTTTTAAATAATTAATTACGATAATAATAAATATATAAAAATAAATTACATTTTTGGAATATTTTGTGAATTGTCAACTTGTACATAAAATATAAATCTATTAAAAAATTTAATTAAACTGCATGAACAACAACTATACTATTCCTTGCGATTTAAAAAATCTTCCGCTTTATAGAAGGTACGGTTCAGCAGCCATCGACATAATGTTTCAAATTGCTTAATAGGGAATACTTTAAATTGTAATGGTATTTTATTGCAGATATTTTGACACATAGCGGTACAATTCTTTAAGAATCGTTTTGTTTTTGGAACTATTTCCAGTACCGCCTGGAACATTTCGGATATATCGCACACTTTTGTAAACTTTTAAATATTCTGATGAACGAATACTGTAACCTCAAAAATGTAAAGATTTGACAAAGTTGAAATGTTCAGAGATTTTAAATAAGGTTAACAAGATACGTCTGGTGCTATGTTACAAATCGACCTGACACATATCTTTTGTGCAATAAATAGTTCCTTTATATGAACCATTCCCATATATCATCAGGCAATATCTAATAATAGATTCAACATACGCAAAATAGGCCATAGGCCAACAGCTGCTACTAGCTACCCTAGACAGTTAATAGAGATTTTATTATGGTTTTTTTCTATCTGATCCTTCCAGGATAGATATGTCCATCATCATCACCAGCCCTTTTGCGTCCCCACTGCAGGGCCTCAAGCCTTCCTTGTGGATGGTTAAGGAGGATGGGCCATGACCCTCCACGCTGGCCCAATGCCGATTGGAGAGTATTAATGACTGCAAATGCAGCCGGGACCAACGGCTTAACGTGCCTTCCGAAGCACGGAGTAGCTCGAGATAATAATTTTTTGGTCACCCATCCCGTGACCGCAACAATTAGTGGACGAATCCGACTCTACTTGGCCGGATTTTTCGGGCTCTAACTTTAGACGTCTGTGACATTAGTAACATTAAATTTCCACTTTTACAAAACAAATTATCAATATTGCTATCATAAATATTTTTACCCATCATTTAGTTACCAAGTTGTATCTTCGATAGCGGGGTATAGAGATTATCCTTGCAAATAAAAAAAAAACTTCATGAACTAAATACATTTTTTAATGTAATGGATCGAAGGTATTAGTATAACTGTAATAAATTGAAATTTTGTTGTTTCAGTTCTTTAAATTTGGCAGACCCGGAAACTTCGAGAGACCTTCCCAATGTGGAGGATACCTGATTATAATAAAATCACGAATAAGAAAGATATGAAAAAATATTTGTAGATGTTATTGTCAATTAGTTATAACTTATTTATAAATTTATTGTACAGGAAGTATTATTTACATAATATAATTAATTATATATGATAGTTAATAGTGGTGTTTAATGTATTACTTCCCCTTAATAGATGAGGAGAGGAGCGTCGTCTCGATTAAAATATAAAAGCGAAAAATATAAATTAAAATTCACTACCTAAACAATAAACTTAGTTATTTACATTAAAAAATATATTTCATAAATATTAGTTTATACGTTTATATATGTTATTTTTTGTGTCTAAAATTTTGATGTAAATTAACAGTGTTCATATATCTAGTAGCAGCAGAAGCAATATCAAAAAGAACGAACAATCTGCCTAATAATAATTCAATATTTATTTAAACTTTTTGCACAAATAAAGTGTACAAATGGCGGACTTAATGCCAGTAGGCATTCTCTACCAGTCAACCGGAGAGTTAAGACATAAAGAATTTAATGAGGCGGTGCTATGCAAAATATAAATAAAGTGTCTTACACTTAAACAATATATATATATAAAAAATGGAAATAATACATAACATAGCAAATTACATTACATAAATAAATATATAATACATACATACATAAATAAGTCAGATTAATTACAAGCGGTAGGAGAATTCAAAAGCATATCGCGTAACAATCTTTTGTAGCATAATTTATTTGGAGCAGCTTGAATATGGGGAGGGAGTGCGTTCCAAAGTCGTATAGCCTGAAGCGAAAATGAGTTTGAAATGAACCCTGTACGGTGAAAAGGAGTGGCGAGAGTTTCTTTGCTGTCTGAGCGAAGGTTTCGGCTGTGTGAAGCACCTAGATACTGAAACTTACATTTCAAATATCCAGGCGCACATGGATCTTTAATGATGGAATAAAGGGTACATAGCATCCTCAGATCTCGACGCTGCTGAATAGTTAACCATTTTAACTTTTCCTTTTTCAAGAGACGTGATCGTACTTACGAAGACAAAATAAAACGTATGCAATTATTAAGTAATCGATCCAATTTGTTGAGAAGTTCCTGTGTGATATCAGCATAACAACATCAGCATAATCTATAATGGGAAAAATGATTGATTGGATTAAAAGGATTTTAGAGGAAATAGGAAGAAAATTTTTAAACTGGTAGAAAGACCTAAGGGTGCCAATGACTTTTCGGCTAATAGACTATCTGCGTGTGCCAGCTTAGTGAACTGTCAATACAAATGCCTAAATCTACAACATGAGAAGAAAATTTAAGCTATTGTTGTTGGAGATGACTGGCGCTACCGAACTCATGTTCAACTTTTAAAAGACGAGAACTGCCCACGATGATGGCCTGGCACTTGTTAGGATTGACACGAATCCCAAAAGTATCGGACCAGTCTAAAATCTTATGTAAATCCTTATTAATTGAGTCTATCATATTATCCAAATCATTTATTTCAGCTTGACCATAAATCTGCAGGTCATCCGCATACAGATGATGAGAGTTACCGAGAACAGGTGAAATCATATTGATGAAGATTGAGAAGAGAAGGGGCTAAAGAATACCGCCTTGTGGAACACCAGCAGGTAAATCGCACCAATCTGACAGTGTATGCTTTACACGAATCGCCTGCCAACGACCCCGAAGGTAGGAAAAGTACCAGTCTAGTTCAGGAGACGAGATTCGCAAGTATGAAAGCAACGCAATGAGAATATCAAGGTTAACGGCATTGAAAGCGTTAGAGAAATCGATTAGAACTAAAACTGTTAGCCGTGACATCCCCATGCCATCACGTAAATCCTCAGTTACTTTTAACAAAGCGGTAGTGGTGCTATGACCTCGACGAAAGCCAGACTGATACTGTTTCAAAATATGATTACTAGCTACATAAGCAGATAATTGACTATGCACAAATGCTTCCAAAACTTTTGATATAAATGGCAGAATAGAAATCGGTCTTAATTGGTTTAATGTTGCTGGGTTATTAACTTCAGGGAGTGGTATAACTAGCGCATTGCGCCAAATTATTGGGAAGGTTCCAGGAGATAGGGAGTGATTTATTATACGAGTGATAATTGGTAGGACACTGTCCAGAACCAAAACGATCATCTGCCTACTCACACCATCATAACCGATCGCTTTCGACCTAATAGACAAAATAGACTTGCGAACCTGTTTCCGTCACCAGAGAAAAAGAGAAGTCATTAGTAGGCCTATTGCACAGAGAGGGTATACGAGTAAGAGCTTTTGAGGTATCTAATAGAAGGGATGACGAGTTGATAGAGAAGTGTTTGTTAATATCGTTGAGAGAAAAGAAATGTGGGAGGGTATCATTTTTAGACTTAACGAGACCAAGGGACCTAAGGAACTTCCAAATATCGGCTTGAGATGACTAAAGGATACTATCATGAAAATATGAGGCAGATCGTTCGCTCGTTTTAAAACTAGTTCATTTAGAAGCCGTGAACTAACTCGTTCGATCTCAGTTGCTAATTATTACGCCCAAGTCTATACACGTGGGTTGTAGACAAAAGTTCTCGATAATATGCACCCGGTTTGAGAATGTAAAGTTAAGAACGTCTCAAACTGTACTTATACAGGTTTTCGCTTTATAAATATAAAACTAGGTCATTTTGACTTATGAAACGCAAAAAACTTAAGTTATTGAGAAAACTCGGTTGAGATTTTATACTTGTTAGAGAACCTACAGAGAGACCGCCTAACTATCTATCCATGACTATTGCCATACGATCGACATCAGCAAGGCCATTCTGTAATAATCCTGACCAGAGTTCACTCATGTATCCGAATTATTCACATCATTAAGTGAAGAAATTCTATTGATTATTGATTCCATTTTTTGTATAGAAATACAAAACGATTGGTTATACCTATGTGTCTCAGATATTCTATTCCTATGTCAATTCGAAACTCACTTATGCCACGAAACTTTATTAACAGTTCAAGATTGAGCGGATGCCGCTTTTTGAAATACATTCGAAATCGGGTTGGTTTTTTACAGAATCGCAGGGCTGATCGATATTAAGGCTATAGGTATTTCGGGGGATAAACGGTTAAATTGGTAACACTGAAGGTAGCTGTAATCTATTATCATCATTCTTTATTAATTGTTCGTCGTTACGTTATCAAAATAAAAGTACCTTAGTTCATGTTGTGCTAATATAACGTTGCTGTCTTCTAAAAACGACAATATACGAATCGTAGGTTTTGAACCTATGCAAATTATTCAATCAAATATAATAATTAGAGCAAATTTTTATCGAAAGTTTAAATATTTGTAAAAATATTTCTTTCGGCTGTTTGGTTGGATTGCCTGAACATTGATGAAAATGCGCTCTGTAGTAGCGTAAAAGTAACACGTGCGTGGCGTGAAAGATTCATCATTAGGTCCTGGTTGTAATCCTGGTACTGGTCCTGGTCGAAAGGTCGTGGGTTGTAATCCCAACTCAAAGTACCAGGGACAAACTGGATTTTAAAATATTTTTAAAAATTTAAAAATTGAGAAATACTTAATACTTATCTCAAAAAATATTTTAGATAAGTATCATTTCTCATTTTTAGAGACGGTTCTTTTTTTTTAAAAAGACGTTTTCATATTTTGTTGCAATTCTGTCGTACGGGTTTGAACTAAAAATAAAACATTTGAGATTATTTTGACATTCCGCAGTTACGTGTAAGTAATATATTAAGTTCTGTTATCAGGGGCGGATTTACAGAATTTTACAGGCTTGCTTGACAGCCCTAGGCCATGTATGTAGTGTGTGCGTGTGTGTATGTGTGTGCGTGTGCCTGTGTGTGTGTGTTTGTGTGCATTCTATATTTTAGAATGAATCATTTAAATATTTCTGCTTTATCATTTAAATATTTATCATTAAGATGTAAGGATGTGATGTTTGGATTTTGACAGCCTTTTTTAATTAATTTATTATAAAGACGAGGACCTTGGAAATTATAGTGGCGTTCGGCAAAAAGTCTTAAATTACCATTGTAATTTAAATAAATTATTTCTTTTGTTTACATTTAAAGATGTAGGATTGGCGTACGCTTAAAACTTCTGCTTTATTGTAAACGTCAGTTGTAGGGTGCCTATAAGGTAAGGTAAGCGTAACCTTCAGTACTGCTCTCTGTGCACAGTCAATTTCAATAAGGAAACGATTTGCAAGCACCACCCTATGAACAGATGCAATAGTTGATTAAGCAATGACACAAGGCGTTGTATATTTGTATCAGCAGTTCATGTTTTAGAATGGTTTTTAAGTTATTGAACACAAATATAAAACATCTCAGCCGGTTTGCTAAAGTAGATATACGTTTGCTCTAGTTCAATATGCTGTCAATGTAAACCCCAAGATACTTTATGCAGTTTAATATTTTTAATTTTGAGCAATCGCAATCAGTCTTTGAAGTTTCCAGATTATTACGGTACGTATGTATGGTAATGGAAAAATTGTAAGGTGGAGCTGTCTTGTAAAAACATACACATTTGGTTTTGGAACTATTGATGGTAAGCTGTTCTTTAGCCAATTAGTGACTTTACATAATCCCGTTTGGGCAAGATGTTGTACAGGCTAATGTCGTTCTAACTGGAATAAATGAAAGTGAATCAACACTGGCAACCAAAGCTAAAACTCGTAACGCCCCACTTCATTCGATGTCATTAAGCTTGGTAGATCCGGATGAAGTGAAGTGCGTTATAGGTAATTTAAAAAGCAGCAATGCATCAGGCTGGGATGGAATACCAACTAATGTACTTAAACATTTTAAACATCTATTGTCAGAACCCATATCCCACCTCTGTAACACTAGTTTCGACACTGGTGAGTTCCCAGCTGCTTTCAAAAGGTCCATAGTTGTTCCTATTTACAAATCGGGGGATAAATCAGTCATATCCAATTACAGACCCATTTCACTTTTACCTGTTCTGTCCAAAGTTATGGAAAAACTAGTAAATAAAAGATTAATCAACTATCTTGAGACAAATTGTTATATCTCAAATAATCAATTCGGTTTTAGATCTAAAATATCAGCAGAAGATTCCATTATAAAACTTATTAA